GGGGGGGGGAAATAACAAACTTGGAAGACGTGTTTGAGGCGTGCTGAGGACGTTGTCACCGGAATACTTTAACTTTAATCATTTCATTGAACCATTGAATGCGAATTATACATACTTTTAAAGACGTCTTTCACTTTGGGTGTATTTTGTGTATTGAAAACTCAATAGGCTGGTTGGCAATAGGTTTGTTGTTGTTGTCGTTGTTATTCTAAGGTAGTAGGCCTACTCTATAAAATGTTGTTATATCATGATGACATTGAATACAGGAAGGTATACGACAAAGTAGGCCTACCATTCTGTCATTGTTAGATATCCTGTACACAGAGCAAGTAATGGGAAAAGCACAGGTGGTGTTTAGTTGGCGGGTACCAGTACTCTGGTTTGGTTTGCCCCTTCTTTCTTATAAAAAATACAGGGTGGTCCCAAAAAAATAAACAAAATAAACAAAAAACAAAAAACAAGCAAACAAACAAAAACAAACAACAACAACGCATTAAACAACTTTTTTCTGAATATATCGCACAAAATTTGTAGATCTACTAGAATGTTGTAATTTGGAACAGATACTATTCTTTCAAAGGTAATTTGTTTGATATAAAATTCATAAAGATAAAACTTGTTTTCGAAAACTGAAATGGCTTTCATATAAACCACCTATAAACGCAAAATGCCCCAATTTAAAAGATCTTGTAAGGAGAGTCAAGAAGGGATTGGTTTGTTTTTTCCCTTCATTTTTAAAAAAATCGTATCTTTCCATCACTGAAACAATATTTCTTTTATCTTACAGAGTTTTAACAAAATATATTGGTAAATTTCTGGAATTCCGAGAACCATTGCTCTCTCTATATACATGTATGCCCTTCTTTGGAGTCAACACATTTTAACACGTCGTTCGTTAGGATCAGTGGTGGTCAAACACAAGGAACCACCCAACCATGAGTGCTCAAAGCCACACACTCTGTGCACACAGTATGGAGCTATCTCTAGAGACAGTTAGGGGGAAG